GTATGTGCCCCTGTCGGAACCAGTGATGGCACCATCCTTCCAGGAGAGTGCTGATCGGTCCAGAGAGGGATTTCCACACAAAGCTTGGTGCAACATGGGCAGGGACTGCCTTTCTTCCCTCCATATGGTTCAACTCATGTGCCAGGTCATCAGCCATCACTGGAGAGTTCTCAAGTGCAAAACCCGGAAAGTCAACAGGCGTTGCCTTGTAGAGAGAGAGCATGTACTGTTCCAACAGCGAAATTTCCTCAACCGGAGAAAGAAGGTGACCCTGAGTATCCCGAAGATGAGGTCGTTGCGAGAAAGACTTGGGAGTCAGCCGGTGGATCGTATAGAAATAGTGATGAGTCTGATTGTTGGCCCAGTACAGAGTAGCTTGATCAATGATGTTTTGCACCCAATCACGTCGATGGTTCATGGCAATCTTTCGTGTTGATTTCCTCCACCGTGTTCGATCATGTACCCACTTCCATCCCTGAAACAAATCCAGCAAAAGTGAGGTGCCAGAGGGCCGCCAGGAAGGAGCCGGAGCGGCATTGAGCGCCCATGTCCACTTTTGTGCAGTTGGTTCCTTGGCAGGTTGGGCTGATGGTCGAAACGTCCGACAGGCTTGGAGGAGAGTCTCGTTGAGCTTTGTAAGGTCTGGCGTCTCAGGCATCTCCAGAGAAATCTCACTTTGAAGATGAAGAACAAATTGTTGCCAGTCAGTAGTGTTATTTTCCCAGTGGTTTTGCAAGGTCAGCCTCTGAGACCTGGTTAAGCCCGTAGTGCTTGCCGGTGGATAGAATCTTTTCCATGGAATACCACACAAAATCGGTTGGTGGTCCTCATGCAGGCCCATCATCTTCGGTAAGTCCTGAAGATAACAAACTTGTTTGGATTTCGTGTCCCCATCCCTTTGCTGAACAAAGACAAAGTCGATGCGGGAGGAGACTTGGCGAGGGCCTCTGTATGTAGCCCCAAGCTCTGGTTTCCATGTGTTGAGCGCCACCAAGGAAAGGTCCTTTAACATTTGTTGCAGTACTTGTGTATCAGGATGTTTGGTGCCGGTGTGCCTTCCAGTTTTTGTGGCAAAGTCACTCAATCCAACACAGTGAGCTTGGTGTCGAAGGCTGGTGTTGAGGTCCCCACCAAAGATCCAACAATTTCGTTTGGGCAGCTTCTTGATCGTTTGATGCATACTGGTCCAAAACTGGGCTCTCTGAGAACTACTCTCATTGTCCGCAGGGTTCCACGGATGTTGGTACAGGTTCAGGATGTCAATGCTATATGTATACATGTACAGGCGCACATGTTGTATGCGGCTCTCCAGTGGTGTGGCCCAAGAAATGTTGTCAATTGAACAAAAACCCAGGCGAATCATGGTGAGCAGCCCACCTCGGCGTAATGTGGCTCCTGAATGTATATATGCAAATTGATTGTCCTGCCATTCTCCTGTGAAAGTCCATCCAGTGTCCTGCAGGCACGCGCAGTCAATCGATTGATGGTGCATCCATGCTCTGAACATGTCCCATTTGGTCATGCTGAGTTGCCCAATGTTCCAGGTGAAAAAGGACATCCTCCCCTGTCGAAACTTTCCAGAGGGCTTCCGATTGGGAGGGTACTGATGTGTCTTCGAGGGCTGCATGTGGATCTGGTCAGTGATAGTGGTCTGTCGGGGCCACTCGTGTACCGGAATTCCAAGCTGTGATGCGGTCAGAAATTGACCTCTGTACCAAGTGACTCCATGTAGAGTGGCCCTCTTTACTGCCTTGATGAAAGCCTTCTTCCTGAGTACCCGATGTGGGTCGTTCTTTTGATGTGCCTGAACTCGAATAGGGTCATGGCCATCTTGCTTCGTCCATCGTGTTGGACTATGGGAGATGTTAGGATTGAGGACTCCTCCAACTCTGATGGCGGAGTTGGAACCCTCGGGCCGCCAGCAGGGAGCGTGTGGATTGAACTGAAAGTTGGACATGAAGAGGCAAATCCAAAGGAAGGTGCCACCAATCAAGATTCTTTCTCGCCTGCTGTTCTGGGGTTTGGGACCCAGAAGAGGGATCATGAACCAAAATGTAGCAAAAAGAAATCAACGTATTCTTGACCTCCAGGATCGTTGTCAGGAACAGGAAGCAAAGGGGATGTACTTCACGATGTTCCCCTCCCACCAAGACCGGCGCCCAGCCGAGGAGCCAAAAGCGCACAGCCACCAGGTGCTAGCTAGCAGCCACAGGAGAGGCTCAGCAGCGGCCGCCGTGCTTCCGGGAGGTGATCAAAAACTGGAGCGCCAGATCAGGAGGTGCTGGATGGCCGCTCCATGGGAGCAGCGGCGCGTTTGATCCACTCGCGGCCCTTATCATCATCGTCATCGAGATCGTCATCGTCATCGTCATCGTCATCACCATCATCACCATCATCATCATCATCATCATCATCATCATCTGAGTGTTGGTATAATACTTTGATTGACCATTGTTCAGATACCTTGATGAAACAGAAGAAGTTTATGAGCTGGAAAATGTTGTAGGTTATGAGCCACAGATTAGACGAGAGTTGTAGAGATTAAGATCGAAAGGACCTACAAAAAAGGGAAGAACGAGAAGAACGTTTTATACCAACGTATCTAAGACTTGGATAAAGATAGGGTTAATGAAAACATCTCAGTTGATACCAAGGAAAATACACTAGGGTCAGTTCTGAAATGTTCAAGTGTCTCAACAAATCACAAATCGTATTGCGGTGATGTTGATATGGAAATGTTGGATGCATGTAGGACAGTAGTTCCAGATGAGAGCTGGAAAATGATGAAGTTGGAGTTAATGAGAGGCGTAGCCAAGACAAATGCGGTTTCACATGCGGGCAATGAGATCTTGAAAATTAAAAAAAAGAGTTTGAAGAACTTGGTATTTGGAGGCCTTAGGAATTGAAAGGTGATGCAATGAAACTTAAAGACTATGTCTTGTAGTTGGTCAAGACTTGCAAAGGTAATTTTGTTGTCAATAAGCTTAACTTGGTGTATGCCGTATATTTAAACAAGTTGATTAGTTAGGCAATGTGTTTGGATGAAAGTATTGTTTTGCAAAGTCAGTCTCACGTTCTGAAGGTCAAATATGACAAAGCCATTAAAAAGTTGTATGATGCTACATATAATTAGTGATGACATCGATGAGAATAATAAGATTCAAAACAACCTAGCGAATGTTGCTTTTGCATTGGTTGAGAAAGGCTACAAGAAGAGAGCAGTGAGCAGACACTGGAGATGATTGTTTGCCTCTCCCTTTGCTGAAATGAACTGGGGTAATTCGTCCTTAACCTTTGCTTAAACCATTTTAGAAAAAAATATGCTGGAAAAAACATATGCTGGAAAGGCAATATGTTTGCTTTTTTGATTTGGTATGTTGTTATGAATTATTCTGTGACTCTTTTTGGGGGACTGGGGTATAGTGGTTGGTCGTGGCTTTCTCAGTTTCTCTTGCTCCAACACCCGAACTAGCACGCCTCGACCAGGAGCTATTGGGAGCCTCATCCCAAGGGCTCGGCCTCCTGCAGCTTCACGCGGTCGGGTTGCGTCGGGTTCGGTCGGTTGGTCTGTCGGTCTGTCGGTCTGTGGAAGGTTCCATTGTCGGGAGCATTCTCTCCTTGGGTGGTGCAAGGTCAACCAGTCCAGCCGAGACAGGTATCTATTGCATAGCCCCTACATTCTGGGACTTGATCGAAATGTGTCATGCGACCCATGTAGCTCGTTGAGTTGGCCTCCAACCTAAGAGCGATGGCCTCCAACCTACTAGCGTTAGGACCTTTAGGAGAACCAATTCAATGCAAGGACAATCGAGAGTGATGCTCAAATCCGCATTTAAGTCTTGTGGGCCTGCATGTGTATCACCAGTCTGTCCCGACAAGCAACGGCTCAAGGAAGCGGGCTTTGCCGTTTGAGACAAAGACACCAACGGTTTGAACACACTGACCAGCGAAGTACTCCGGGCGTTGTGGGCACCTGTTCGGTTGCATCCCAATCGAGACCTCAGTTGAGGATCAGCCAGGTCAACTAGACTAGGCCAGCTAAACTTCACATTAATAAAATATGGAAGGATTCGTTATGGACTCTCCAAATGATCCTGCTTCCTTTGCCAAAGACCCAACTTCGCCATTGAACATATGGGTTCAAACACATGTAAAAATTAAGTAAAATTAACAGAATGTCAGAGCTTGCAGTCACTGGTAACTCGCATTGAATCATACATGCATCACTGCAGGACAGCGGAAAGGGAATGAAGAAATTGCAGTAGTGCGTTTAGTGAGATGGAAGTGAACATGCTGCATAGCATGCGTCGCAATCCCGGCACCATTTTGCTGAGTGCCGCTACTGCTCCAGTTCCCTTCCTGCGCTGAATGCTTGGAAAGCCGAAAAAGACCAGTTCTGCTAGAAATGGTTGGGCCCAGGAATTTGTTCCTAGAAAAATAGTGGACAAGGGCAACAAGAGGGAACATGTTCCCTAATTGCAGTGAAAAGGAAACTGCGTGTGCAAGATTCACTCGGCTGTGCGTGTGTGTGTGTAACCCTTGGAATCAGAGGGAACCTTAAGGTTTGGAACAGGGGGCGTGACGGTCGATTTCCTAGTCACGCCAATGAAGCTATGGAAATCGACTGGATGGAAGTTTGGACGCAAACTTCCGTACCTGTTCCCCTATTTAGGAAAACAGGAGGAAATGGTACTCGACACACTTGTGTGTCGGTGCCTTTCCTTCTGTTTTCCTCTAAGGCTACCCTATAGGTTGGAGGTAGGCCTTCAAACTTTGTAAGGGTTCTTTAACTTGAACTTTGGCCTCCACCCACT